TTTTCTTTTTTTTGATGATTTTTTTAAAACTCATAATATAAGGATACATTAGTAGTATAGACAAGATGGCATGGTCAAAATAGCAAGATCTCACGCGCATGCACGTGCGCTTCGCTCTGATTGGCTGAAACTAAAGTCTCAATATCTTTCTTGTTTCTTGTCATAATCTTTTGAAATTTTGAACATAGTCCTACATTATGAAGATCTACAGCATGATATATAAAAATTTTCATGAAAGCATGCGCATGCGCGCGTGCTGCAATCTGATTGGCTGAAATTTTAAATGACTATATCTTCTTTGTTTTTTGACGAAATGCTTTAAAATTTAAAACATAGTCATGCATTAGGATATCCTAAAATATGATATAGAAAAAAAATCATGAAATCACGCGCATGCACGTGTGCTGCAATCTGATTGGCTGAAACTTTATATGGCTATATCTCCTTGGTTTTTTGACGAAATGTTTGGAATTTTAAAATATAGTCATTCATTTAGATACCCTTCAATACGATAAAGATAAAAATTTATGAAATCACGCGCATGCATGTGTGCTGCAATCTGATTGGCTGAAACTTCAAATGGCTATAACTCCTTTGTTTTTCAACCAAACAGGATGGGATTTGGAACATAGATAAATATAAGGGACTCCTAAAAGAAGGTGTAGTCATTATGCACGTACTTGCACGTGCGTGCACGTGAAATGAGTAAAATTAAAAATACACTCGAATGAGTGTTTTTTTTTAATACTTTTGGAATAAATGATTGGATATTAAGTATATTAAAATTTTAGATAGTGTAGACAAGATAATATGGTCGTTACGCACATGAACATGCGTGCAATGCCTATTTTAAAATATATTTTGTATTTTTCTGGGAAGACTTTGATTAAGTCTAAATTCCATAAAGTATTTCTTATTTAATAGAGATTACAGGGAATATGGCACCAAAAGGGAGTTGGGAAGCGTTTGGGGAACATCTGTAACGGTCCCCGTTACAATTAGCACTAGTTTCAAATATTTTTAAGCCGCCGGGCGGTCAGAAAGTAGCCCGGATCGCCCGAAAAATTTTGAGCGGCCAAATGAAAAGCAATATGGCGGAAACGGGGGTAGAAATGTTCTTGATGGTGAAATATTCGTTTTTTATCATTTGGCGTAGTCTCAGTGTCAATAAACATATAGTACTGAGATAATAAGTGCCTTTTACAACATATTTGTTTATATTTGCACGACCAACACTTTTTTTTTATTTTAAAGCTGCTTTTCAGTTCTGTGGGTAACGAGGCCCTATATGCCCCAAATTCACATATTGTACATTGAATGGATCTAGTAAATATTAAAACGAAATATATCCACTAAATCGTTGTTCTCGTGCGTTCAGAGAATTTTTTTACAGCAACAGCACCAATACGAGCCATATCCGGCTAATTTTTCACTCGCTTCAGAGACACTAATGCCTAGGTCACATTTCCCGGCCGGTAGCCGTAGACCGGTGGTAATCGGTGGTAATCTGTGGTGTTTTCGATGCCCAAGCATCGGTCCACATCGGCCTAATAGTCCTTAAAGTTTCAGTCACATTATCCAGCGATGGGTATACGATGGGCAACCAATGCGTTTTATGATATAAATGGCGTGGTTGTCGGCCGGACTTACAAAGGCCCAGCGATGCATGGCTAATCATAAAATGATGTTCCAAGATAATCGGCCGATGTGTATTACATCGCTCATACATTGGTGAACATCGTTCGTACATCGGTCGACTATGGGCCAATGTTTGATCGAACATCGACCGATGATCGGCCGTTATCTGATGAACACCACTCAACGCCCCGATGACCTCAGATTCAACGGATATTGGACGATGCTTGGCCATACATCGGCCGATCCTTGAAAGATGTTTTAATGATGGGTTGCCGATGAGGAGCTATGTGAGGCATCGTTTGAGACATCGCTGAATTTTAACTACGAATTATTTCCTACCGATGACCCCACCGATTCGCAAAATGGCCTCAGTCACCGTCCGATCACTAGTGGTGCTCGGCCGGCAACCACGTTATTTTCATCAAAAAACGCATCGGTTTCTCATCGCTGGATAATGTGACTGATACTTAACCGGGTCAATATGTCATGTGATAAAAGTGAACCTGGTCATCGCCCGGCTGTCTGAAACAAGTGCGCCCATACAAAACATGCCAGTCTCAATCCAATTTTAAATGTTTAGTGTATTTGTCATTCTAACCAAATAATAGAAGAACTAAAAGACATATGAAATAGAGCGAAAACCCTAACTTTATCGTCCATTAATAAAAAATACGACATTTCCGAGGTATGTGTATTGTCTTTAAATGTACCATTACGATAAATAGATACATACGATCACCGATAGATGTAAATTAATTTCCTTGTCATCTCTACTTCGATTTAAATAAAATCCACAACAATAAAATATTTCATATGCATTTTGTTAGTATTTGTTCATCGACATTCAACATGTTGTTTACATGTTTATGTTACATTTGTCCCAGAAATCCCGCGAGATTTGTACATTCTCCGACTTTTTCACAAAAGAGTGCACTAAGAACTATAACTCTTCAATAGTGGAAATAGAACGTAAGACAAATCATTTCAACAATAATCCTGTTTTAATTCAAAGAAATACAACACTATGCATGTATACATGTGTAAAGGACTGAGACTACTATAACATATCATTTATAAATTTGTCCAATAATAAATTATTATATGTTAGGGTCCATCTTCCGTACGTCTGTCTAGCTGTCTGTCTATCCTGACAATTTTTTCCTTTTAAATCTAATATCAATATACTTTAAAATACATGTAGACCATACTAAGATACATAATTTACTGATTTTGATGAACGGTGTTACTATGGTTACTGAAAATTGAAATTTGTGTAAAATACCTTTAAAACTCCACTCCTCCTACAGTGTTTTTGTTCTGATTTCAATAAAACTTAGCAAACAAGTAGCAATATGAATTAATATTGTAGTTTTAATCATATTCATATCAGATCGAAACTTGCCACAAAGTATTCTTGGGTGAAGGGGATTCAAGTTTGTTCAAATGATCGAGGGCCATGACATCTTCAAAGGGGAGATAATTATGAATAAGTGAAAAAGTAATGGCATATTTTAAAAATCTTCTTCTCAAGAACCTTTGTGCCAGGAAAGATGAAACTCATGTGGAAGCATTCTCCTGTAATGTAAATTCATGTTTGTTCATATCATGATCCCCGGGGGTAGGGTAGGGCCACAATGGGGTATCAAAGTTTAACATAAGAATACATAGGAAAAATCTTTAAAAATCTTCTTTTCAAGAACCACTGGGTCAGGAAAGATGCATCGTCTCAAGCCACGGTCCGGAGTCCGCATATATAGCTCTCTCCTACCCTTGGCTGCTTGATCAAAAAAAGTATCGTAATCTTGAATATTTACGCCTCTCTATTGTGACGTCATATTCAGTCAGTGGCAAGTTTTGTTTCAATCGCAATCCAAATCAACAACTGACGTCAACAGTATACACGAAATATTTCCTATACTGCGATTGGATATTGAAAGGTCGCGATAAAGTTCATCATCCGACTATGCTTTACTCGCATTGGTCAATATTTTTAATGAGCGACGAAGAATTCTCGTCTCGTTCAACCACGGCCAGAATGGGAGAGGAGCGTACATTTTGGCCGTGGTTTGCGACGATGGGAAAGATGTAACTCAAGTAGAAGCATCCTCTGGTAGGGTAGATTCAAGTTTGTTCAAATCATGACCCCGGGGGAAGGATGGGACCACAATGAAGTATCAAAATAGGAATTTCATTTTTAAGTTCTTCTCAAGAACCACTGGGTCAGGAAAGATGAAACTTATATAGAAGCAACCTCTGGTAGAGTGTAGATTCAAGTTTGTTCAAATCATGACCCCTGGGGGTAGGGTGGAGCCAAAATGGGGTATCAAATTTTAACATAGGAATACATAGGAAAAATCTTCAAAAATCTTCTCAACAACAGCAAAGCCATGATTGGTCATAGTTTTATGGAAGCTTCCTCTGATAGTGTAGATTCAAGATTGTTCTAAACATGACCCCTAGGGGTAGGATGGGACACAATTGGGGATCAAAGTTTAACAAAGGAATACAAAAGAAAAATCTTTTTCTCAAGTAAAGCAAAGCCATGATTAGTCATATTTATATGGAAGCATCCTTTCTTATTGTAAATTAAAACCTCTTTGTTTAAATCATGACCCCTGGGGCAAGGGTGGGGCTATTATGGTAATTAAGTAAGAATACATAGGAAAAATCTATAAAAAATCTTTTTCTCAAGAACAGCAAAGCTGTGGTTGGTCATAGTTATATGGAACCATTCTCATGTAGTGTAGATTCAAGTTTGTTCAAATCAATACCCCTAGGGATAGAGGTGGGCCACAAAGGGTGAAATAGGTTTTACATGGGGAAAATCGTTAAAATTCTCACAAGAACAACAAAGCCATGCTTGATCATGAATATAAAAGCATCAAAAAGGGTAATGTAGATTTAAATTTGTTCAAATCATGACCAATCAGCCGGAGGAGCCATTAAAGTGGATCATAACAAAGGATAATAAAGGCTATATCAATAAAAAAAAAATTCATCGTAAAAACAGCAAAGCCATTGTGGGCCTTATTGATTCAAAAGCATCCTTAGGAAGTGTAGATTTAAGTTTGCTCAAATACCTCCCTCAACCGAACCCACTTTTATATTTAAACTTTTCAATACTGAACTGATATTTGCTTTTACCTAGCAAGTTCCTCAGGTGAGCGATGTGGCCCCTGAGCCTCTCGTTATAAATATTTTAATAGGGTACTATTAGGCAATCTAAGATATAACTTGCGACAGTGTACGACAATCTAATTAAAATTAAATGTAAGATCCGCTCGCATACTCGCTACACTAACATCTAATTTTAATTAGATTGCAGTCTACGATTATATATTTTTATTTGAAATAAACAGAAGTCTTGGGAATGGCGGACCAAACAGACTTCAAAGGTTTATTGACGGATGGTTTCACACTACAGAAAGATGCAATGCTCCTAGTCGACCTATTAATCCCGAGGGTTCGAATACCACAGGAGAGCGGTCAGTTGAATATTTGATCTTTTTAATGGTAAAAGAATGTTATAGGGTTAAAGAAAAATTTATTTACTCGTCAAAACATTTATCAGTTCAATGCATTGCCGAATTGTACACAGATCTAACATGTATATATTAAGTAATGTTAAATCGTTTTATTTTTCCTTCATTTATTAGATAATGGTAACAATAGTTTGGTCGTCTAGTATTTCAAACGTTAATTAATGTGTTTCCGTCTCGAAAACACACACACACACACACACACACACACCCTCACACACACACACACACACACACACACACACACACACACACACACACACACACACACACACACATATATATATATATATATATATATATATATATATATATATATATATATATATATATATATATATATATATATAAGGTACTCCGCCTCAGCCAGGAAGGATATAACTCTTAAATTTAGAATTAAATTGAAAAAGTCTAAAAATGAAGCTTGAAAATTGAATCTTTTCATACAACAATTTTTTATTTTATGCCTCTCAATGTGCTTCAAGGTTCTTTGGAGTTCTCAGAAAGGTCCTATAAAAATCGAAAATTCATCCCATAAAAGTGTTTTTAAATTTCACATTGAAAGAAATTGAGTACTTTTTTAAAAGTCTAATCATAAGTACCAATGTTTTTTAACATGATATGAAATTAGAAGTGGTTTTTGGTGTTATCCAATGCTAGGAAAGTCTTTATACACTATGTATTGTAAATTGATTGAAGTAAACAGAAGAAACTAAAGTATAGTACAAGCATAACAAGATGTTTTGTGAAACACAATGCGCCCGGCGGCAACAAAATTCGAACAAAAAGCTATTTTTAGCATGTAGGTAACAGTCAAGGTCACTGTGGTGTCATTTGAAAGACCCTGATTAGTGGAGTATGCACACCAAATATGAAGTCTCTATCTCCTATGGTTCAAAAGTTATGGCTAAAATACGAAATAAAAAAACTATTTTAGCATACAGGTCACAGTCGAGGTCACACGGTCAGTTTGAATGTTCTCTATCTATCATGGTTCAAAAGTTATGGCGAAGGTTAAAGTTTGCAGACAAACGAACAGACAGGACAAAAACAATATACGCCCAGGATCTATCGATGCGGGCAGATAAAAATTGTGTAATTTCTTCAAAAGCCTGGATACCTATGATTTTTATTTCTAGAATGTGTTTGTTGATCCAATGTGAATCGGAAAATTTAAAGTACATGTAGGTGTTCGCATTTCCTATTATTTGAGATTTACTGCATTTTCCTACATAATATGATTAACTTTATAGATGAAGTTTGAAGAAATCTTGTGGATAAAAACAAATTATTGAAGAATTCAGAGACATTTTTGTGAGCATTTTCAATTTCGCAATGCCTGATTTCCAGAACCTGAGGATCGGAGTCCCATAATTCAAAAAAAAAAAAAATGAAAAAATAAAAGGTGTTTCATACAGATTGCAATCAGTTAACAAAAACATCTTGGAATTTAAATTTATTAATTATAGACCTGCCACCTGCAGCACCACTTCTTGTCTAGGCACTCGGCAAAGAAACCGTGATCTTTCATCCAGTCAACCACAACTGGTGCTTCCAATCAACTTAAATAGAATGCCGTTCTCTTCCAGCAACGAATTGCCAACTAACGTTAATTTCGGAGGATATAGGTAGAATTCTACTTGTTTACTTAGAATTTAATTCCTGACAATCTTATATGTAACAATTAAGTACAATGTACTAATAAAATAAAAAAAATTAAGGCTAATAACAATTTTTTTAGGAATTATTATTTCAGCTGCGTTTTAAGAGAATTTGACTTTTAATTTAAGTCTTAAACATCAGAGTTTGATTTTAAACACTTTCCACGGTGAATTTGATACACTATACATGTAGTAGTAGTAGTAGTAGTAGTAGTAGTAGTAGTAGTAGTGGTAGTATTTATTTGGTATCATGTCATCATACATAAAACAAATACACATAATTATACATATTAATCATATGAAAGACAAAGGTTGACAATCCTGATTTCATAAATAAATAATTAAGGTAACAATATTTTTAGAAATACAATATCAAGGTGGATAGAATTGATACCAGGATAACCCATTAAAGCTCGAGAGCTTATTTCCAATGGGGTCCTATCTTAAATAATTTTAAAGAATAAATAACAATACAATGTATTCAATGTTCCACCATTAAAGCACCTGGTAAAATGTACCTTTGTTTGATTAAAAAAATCATAATTAAAACACTTTTAAAAGGTGGTTTACAAGATCTAGTGAAAATGTCCCACCATTCCCCTGTTTTTACTCTTTTGAAAAATGCAATGATAGTGTGTCATTCAAATGTTGATTCTCAAAAACTCCAAATAGCATACATTGGTTTGAAATCACATTTTTTTGTTTTCAAAAGCAGTAAAATCAATTTTATGTATACTCACAATCAATGGAAACGCAACACCCTAATTTTAGTGTGAAAATTATATACGGGATATAACTAGGAGGATTTTACCCTTACTTTGGACTTTCAGTAGGCGTGACTTTCTCGGCGCTACGTAATAGCGATTACTAGTAGATTCTCATTGGTTACGAAATTAATAACATTAGTAACTTAAAATTGTTGTTGATAAAGATGAGACGACTTATGCCCCACGTCTTTGCCGTGAGAGAACTTTTAATTGACTATTTACTACACCAGTTGACATTCGGCCGCATTTTCATCATATGTATATTTCAACAGTGAAGGGAAGCAGTGTTAATTTCAGAGGCTAATTAGGTAACGTCGAGAATGCCACGCCTTACTGAAAGTCCAAACTCAGCGTGTAATGGTAATATGTACCAAAAAAGTTAGGACATCTTTAACATTCCATTACCGGAATTTGAGTTTTAGCCCTCTTAACAGAAATCAAAAATTAGAATTTTAAATAAAATTATTGACAATATTTTCGTTTTTTAAGGTTTTGTACCTGTTAATCATAAGTATTGTACTAAAATCCCAGAAAAATATCCTTCTTTCTTTTCCTGATGTGATGCCTGTATTTCCTCAAAATGACAGAAAGCATGCATTTTCATTGCTAATGCTAGAAATTCTCAAAATAAACAAAAAGGAGAGTACAAATGCAAATATACACCACATAACGACTTTTCGGGCTTATGTGTTTCAAAAGCATGAATGACAGTTCCTTGACCGAAAGTCTAAGGGTTACTACACTACGCCAAGTTAGAGAAAATACGGCCTTAGTATCTGAAAAACAGGCATTTAAAAATGCCCAAGAATATTTATTTCACTCAGATAAAGACACTGATAATTAATGCATGGTAGAAATCGGGCTGCGTATGTTGTATATGGCGGACTAGGACGTTTTATTTAAATGGTCGGAAGGGGGGATGTTTTAAAAGTTATCTGTTAAGAGGGCTAAAAATCATCTTCCGGTAATGGAATGAACATGATATTCAACAGTTAAATAACTGATTTGGCAAAGTTAAGATGTCTTAACTTTTTTGGTACATAGTTATATCCCGTACATAATTTTCACCCTAAAATTTAGGGTGTTGCGTTTCTATTGATTGTGAGTATATTTCCAACATAAAATATTCATACGTTCCCAGAGAGTAGATTTTTGGCATCATATAATGAAAACGCCTGTCTCTCTCCAACTTTCATAGAAGGAGGTAGAAAGCCCCCTCCCCCGTGGCTACCCCTTTGGGTCCCTATACAAGTAGCTTATAAAGTTGGCAGCTGAGATAAACTTGCCTGTATATGGTGACTAATTTCGTTTCTATGTTAGTACTTATAACCTTATTGTCCCCCGCTTTCGCAAAAGCGAGGGGACATTAAATCTCATTAGTCTGCATGTCAAACTATCACAAAAACTTTAACCTTAAACATATTTTTTAAATGAGAACAGATAGGTCAGGATTTTCATATTACATATGTGTATTACGCGTGACAAGATCTTTCTAAATACTCTATGATTTTTTACCCAGTGACCTTGGCCCTGAAGTTTGACCTACTTTTCAAAATTTTTTAGCCTGTTCATGATTTTGGATGAGAAGTTTTAAGGCTTCACCTGTCACATGTATATTATCTACAACAGGACCTTTCTAAGTACATTACGACTTTTTGACCCCGTGACCTTGACTTTTACGTTTCACCTACTTTCCAAAAATGTTATTTTTTCCTGATAATTTTTGATAGAGAAGAAATGGGACTTGCATATTTCACATGTGCATTATCTGTGACAAGATATTTCCGAGCAGGTGCTATAATTTCTGACCTCTTGACCTTCATGTTTGACCTAATTTTAAAATAAAATCAACTTTGGTAATTACTTTTGAATGAAATATTTTAATAGGGCATTCATATTTGATACAATATGCCATAAACAATGACATCTCACTCATAAAGATACTGGAAGCGGGGGACCACAATTCTTTGAATTTGCTAGATTTGAATACAGGCTGCTTCGGTTTGCTGATCAATGCAGAGGTCTCATATGGGCAGCGGAAAGGGCAAAAATTACCATAATGAGAAAACAAACAATTATTTTAATTTCAATGATCATAAAAACTTAACAAATGATATACGATGCATAATCAACAGACCTTTTCGCAGAACAAGTATACATTAAAACATAACAAACGAACAAGTACGTAACAAACATATATGAATGCAAAACCAACGATCGTCTTTGCAGTACAAACGTACATAAAAACACGACAAACGAAAAAAACTTAACCAACGTGCACGCGGTAAATCTAGTCTTCGAAAAGGTCTGTTGATTATGCATTGTACGAGGGTTGTTCGAAAAGTTCGTGGACAACTGTCATATCTTTTTTATTTGACGTCATATGTTATCCAAACTTGGTAGAAACATTTTAACAATTAATCCAAATGATATGTAATAATTTTGACAAAATATTTCGATTGATTAAAAACTTATCCAGGTTTTAAAAATGCATTAATCGGATCGCGGAGCAGGTCAAAATTTAGTAAGTTACAGACAATACAATAAATAGTGTCTATAGCAATATTCTCTGTAAAATGGAGGAAAAACGAAAAACTACCTAGAGATTCAAATTAAGAATTGTTACATCGATACATGTACCAAATTATGGTTTTATATTTTGCTTTGTTGAAAAGAAATCAACTTGAGAAGAGTAAGTAGTCCTTATTGAAAACAACAAAAACGATGACGTTTTAGAACGTCACGGAGCAGCAGATACCGAAGCAATTTTGCGTTTTTCTCAGGAAAAATCCTGAATTAACTGTAAAAATGTTGAAGGAATCAAGAAAATATGTCACAAGCGAGTTGTGCATGTGTGTATAAATAGTACAGGCAATATTTGACTGACAGAGACTCTGTATCGGATGATGATGACCTGTGAAGAAACGGTTTTACTGTAAACATCTGAACAAAACTTTAAAATTTGAAACGTAATTGAAAGACAAAGGCGCTTCAGAGCTGCTTATCCTGTGAAAGCAGAGTTAAGCACTAAAAGAAATAAAACCTTAACAAAGGAAATTATACAATGAGATCAATTCTTAAAAAATAAATGTCAACTATTAGAAAAAGATCGATTGAATGAATGGACATTGGAATATTCTGTGTGAAATGTATAGGTATAGTATCTATTATAATTCTCGACGCTATGTGTTGACGTTACATTGCCGTTTTGTGTGCTCCGCGGGTACAAAACATGTTGATTTTAAAATGAAGTAAATTTATTTGTGTTAAATCGAATGGACGGAAAGTTCACACATCAACAAAACAAATATTTTTACATATTATAATGTGCTTGTTTTAAATTTCCAGTGAGTAATGTAACGAAGATGGACATCGTCCACGAACTTTTCGAACAACCCTCGTATATCATTTGTTAAGTTTTTATGGTCATTGAAATAAAATAATTGTTTGTTTTCTTATTATTGTAATTTTTGCCCTTTCCGCTGCCCATAGTCTCACTCCTAAAATCCATCGTCTCAAACCACAGTCCGGAGTCTGCATATAGTTCTCTCCTAACAGGCAGAATGGGAGATAGAGGATCGTACATTTTGGTTGTGGTTTGCAAAGATGCCTCAACTCTGGTCTTCACAAAGATTAAAGTGTTCTGTTCTCCATCCGTATTGTTTATAGGATTTATGAGATTAGTCTCTGTTGAACTTTTCAATAGTCAACAAAAATGTTTATTTGCTAATTTATCTCCTTCTTGAGAATGTTCACTCACATTGAAAGGCCACCACATGTCGGTAGAGGGCTGGAAATTTATATACGAGATCTACAATCTGCTTTTGGCACTGAGGAATCGTTTTCGTATCAGCATCTACTTCGATACGGATATTCGAAGAACCGTCTCCGCGTCCTGCAGTGGAATGCAAACCCATCAAAAGAAATGAAATAGCTTACTAAACGATAAAATCATATTCAATTATTTTGCTCAAGTCGGGCTCATTTTTCCAATTTAACAAATCAAAATCGCCTCTGTTTTTCTTTCAGGTATCGTTTAGCTGGGGTGTCGTTCCGAATGATGGAACCTAATGGTAGACGCTGGACCAGCAGAATAATGCACTTGGGACAATCTTTCTATCACAGTGCAGATTCCTTTGAATCTCAGCGTTATCACGCAGATCCTTTGAACAGCGCCCTTTCATTTGCGTACTACGTTATAGATACCGGTGACTACATAACTTTTTAATCTTGCTCAGGATCCCATGCGTCTTTGAAATGAACATTAGATAACTGTGAAGAATTTATGGAACGCCATCACTGCCTTATAGCATAAAACTATGCATTCATTATGTCAATCTATCATTACGTGATGTGAACATATCTTTACGTTATGTCAATTTTTTATGGGGTGATGTAAAAATATCTTTACATCATGTCAATGCTGCATTACATGAAGTAAACACATTCTTCCATTATGTCGGCACTTTATAACTTGAAGACCAAAGTTCATTATGTGAAGTGAAAATATGTTTACATTGTGTTAAAACTTTATTACGTGAAATAAATATTTCTTTATATTATTTCATTTCTTTAATATGTGAGGTCAAAATTGCATTACGTCAAGTTAATTTCGTTTTACATGTGTTCTATGATTTAATTTATCATTACATTAAGTCAAAGTCCATTCCCTTTTGTGAGTGTATATTTCTATTATAACAAAGCATTATTACGTGATGTTAAATGTATCTTTATTTTACGCCGATGTCATCACAATGTGAGGTGAAAACATCTTACCTTTATGTCAGTCCTTTATTACTTTAAGGTGGCTCATTACATCCACAGTTTATTTTAGATTTCAATACAGCACCACTTATAATGTATATGTCAAATATCCAGATGGGGGTATTGATATCATAAATATTTTTTAAAGATTTTTTTAGTTTTTGTTTTATTTTAGTGAAATGTTTTATTTCAGGTTTATAATTCACAGAATTTC